GTCACTGTTGGTGATAGCATATTTGGTAACCTATAAAGAACTGGGATTAGGGACCTATTTTATGGTAATTTCTTCGAGTCTTCTCTAAACAATTAGAGTCAGAATAGCAAGTACTGCAGGCTGTGCCTATGTAGGCCACTGAATTACCCAATTATCAAATTGCTTTCCAATTGGTCAGCCAATTTAATGAAATCAACCTAATGAATTTTAGCAAAAACAACAAAAAAGCAATTTGATCCCCCAGCCCCACTGGGGAACAGTTTTTTGAGAGGCCTAACCAAAATGACCAGAAGTTCTAGAACCTCTTTGTCAATTTCATTGACATTTCCTCAATCCATCACTTGACCACTGACTAAGCCACTGGAAGGGGGTTTGCCATTCTAACTTCTTAGCAGGCAGTTGTAGGTTTCCAGTGGATACAAGTTGGATAGAAGTGATAATAAACCTCTTTTGTTGCCAGAATCTACTGTGTCACTCCTTATTCACCCTTAACTCTCTTAGCCACACTTGGCTGTCATTAGACAATTGCATTTTTTTCCCACACAGTCACATTTCAATGATAGTATCTTTTTCTGCACACTAAATACCTAAACTTGCCCTTATCAAATATTTCAAAAATATACTTCAAGTCATATAGCACAGCACACAATTAGTACTATTTAAAATGCTCTTATTTGCTCTTTTACTAATGTCTTAAAATTTTCACCTCCCCATAATAATATAACATTACTATTCTCCTGGGTCTTTGTTTCAAAGGTTCTCTAGCTTCTCAGATATTTAATACACCTGCTCTGGCCAAATTTTGACACTTGATACCCTCAACATACTGATTCATTTGGTTTGTAGTCATATCTTCATAATCCTCACTGGATTCGTAATTCAAGTTAGTGAAAATTTCAGTTAAACTGATTATATGGCATCTGTTTAAGTGACTGAGTTAATTATTTGCTTTTATTCTTTTCAATCCCTTTTGGTATGTGTATAGGCACATCCTTTCTGAAGGCTAAGACTGTGTTCATGAACAGAAAGCAAAGGAAAGAACCTGGATGATACAGGTAAAAACAGTGTCCTCCATTATTTGGATTTTTCAGATTGCCATTATTTGGATTTTTCAGATTGCTAAAGATGGGTCTTGCCCAAATCATCCAGACAACTATAACTAGTTAATATTTTTTTGAGATTTTATGTAGATAAATGTATGTATTTTGACCCCCTCTATTTATAAACCTAGCTGAGGCTAAGGGCCTGAAGTATTACAATTGCCATTTAACCAGTCCTTCTACCTATGGTTTAGGGGTTGGCAAGCTCTGGCCCACAGGCCAAATCCATGCTGCTTTGTTTTTGTAAATGAAGTTTTATTGACACACAGCAATGCTAATTTGTTTACATGTCAACTAATGCTGATGTTAGACCACAATGGTGGAGTTGAATGTTGCAACAGAGACCATATGATCTAAAATATATACTACCTGGTCATTCACAACAAATATTTGCTGGCCCTTGCTCTTATCTCTTCCTCATTGATCTTGTATGTCAGTGCCAGATTTATTTTTCTAAAATACCAATTTCATCATGTCACTCTTCTGCATAAAAAATTTTTTTTAAATAGTTTATTGTCAAGTTGGTTTCCATATAACACCCAGTGCTCATCCCCACAAGTGCCCTCCTCCATGCCCATCACCCCCCTTCCCCTCTCCCCCATACCCATCAGTCCTCAGTTTGTTCTCCACATTCAAGAGTCTCTCATGATTTGCCTCCCTCCCTCTCCCCTGCTATTTTCCCCTTCTTCTCCCCCACGGTCCTCCGTTAAGTTCTTCCTAATCCACCTATACGTACAAACATATGGTATCTGTCCTCTGCCTGACTTACTTCACTCAGCATAACATCAAATTCCATACATGTTGCTACACATGGCCAGATTTCATTCTTTCTCATTGCCATGTAGTATTCCATCGTATAGATAAATCACATCTTCTTGATCCATTCGTCCGTTGATGGACACTTACGCTCTTTCCATATTTTGGCTATTGTAGAGAGTGCTGCTATGAACATTGGGTTCACGTGCCCCTATGCATCAGCACTCCTGTATCCCTCGTGTAAATTCCTAGCAGTGCTATTGCTGGGTCATAGTGGAGTTCTTTTGTTAATACCTGCATAAAAATTTTAAATGTACAAATGATATGCAGCTTTTATGCACTGTCTTGGCCTTACTATTCTCATTGTTAGTACCTATGCCATGCTGTTTGTTAAGTATTTTGAAAATCACCTTTGCTTAAATGGTTTTTATTTGTGTGGAATAAAATCAAGCTCCTTAGCCTTGTATTGAAGGCTCTTTCTAATATTCTTATTTGTTCCTTGTATGAATAATCTTTGCTTTATCCAGAACACACCTAGCTTATCTTTATCTTTGCGTTTTCCTTTAAACCATTTACTTCTTTTGAAATGCCCTGAACTCTGCTCTCACCTTTTACAAATATGGAGATCATTTGTCCACATTTACTTCAGACAATCTCAGTTTACACTTGTTACCTTTATGTAACAAAATGGTGCCTCTTTTTACTCTCAAACATGTCCTAGACTGGACAAGAAATTATATGGTTACTGTAGCTATAAATCATATTACTCCTTTGAGGATCATTTCCAAATCTATTGCTTCCATAAAGCCTTTGATATCTTTAACCTGCAGATCTCTTTCCCTCTTTCAACTTCTCTAAGTATTGAGAACTCTCATATGTTAAGGTATGGAGTACTTAGATGTATTTTTACTTATGTAGTATAGACCCTCAGAATATAAGCTCTCCTTAGTTAAGGCCCATGCTGTATTTTTTTCTGCTTTACAGATGTGTATTGAGCACTTTCTATGTGCCCAGAAGTGGGAACTGCTTCCACTGAGAAGCAGGGATTGAATCCCATTTATGATAAGACCAGCCTTGCACCTATAAAGCTGGCATAAGGTGAGTACACACCCCTGCAGCTGATGGGGAAGGCGGTGATAAGCCATGTGGGACAGTAGCAGATCTGTACTGCTTAGTTTCAGTAGAGGGAAATCAGAGAGGGCCTCCTAGGGAAAGGGCCAGCTGGGCACCAATAAAGCCTCTTGGTCCCACCAATATTTTACCCATTTGTCTCATTGTGGTAGGCTGCCTGGTGTTCATGTATATATTTTGTATCTGTTCAGCTCCTAGATTATCTCTTATATACACAAATTGTTTTATGTATTGATTTATTGCTTGATTAATATATAGATAGATAATGATCTACAATCATGACACGGGAAACATATCTTGGAAGAGGAGCTATTTCTTTAAAATCTAAAATGATAAGAGCATAGACAATTCTATTTACCCATCTCTGCTGTTACCAGGATGATTCTGTTGACAAATCTTTGATTTTTAAGTGGTTTCTTAGCCTTATCCATTCTGTTTGAGTGGCTTGACAGTTTTCATTCTCAGAGGGATGTAATAGAAAGAGTATTGCAATAGAAGCCATGAGATTGAGATTTTTATTCTTGGATCCCTCACAATCACCAAACACTTCAGGTCTCAGTTTTCCCAACTGTAGAAGAAATAAGGTTGGATTGGATGACTTCTTAGATAATATTGTATTATATTTAAAAATGAGTTAACCAACAGGTGATCTGTACAACATGGATTAGGATAAATAATATATCTCATAGAGCTACCTGAATTTATACTCAATTAAGTTATCAACCTCAAATTGACTTTCTAATGGCCATGTTTAGTTTAATTATTCCAAACTATGTTCTTGAGAGAGAGAAAAAATTCATTTGGAGTGTGTGTTACTGTGTATATAACAAACACATACGTTCTGATAATGAACTGATCTGGTTAATTAAATTTTAGGAGAGGAAGATTCTGGGAATGTGGTGAACTGAATGTATAGCACCTTTCCCCTCAACTCCTAAGTACAAGCTCTTTGCTTCTCCTAAGCAAAATGGAAGCTAGTCCTCATGGCATCTGGGTACAAACAAGACCTGGAGCTTTGTTAGATCCTAGTAAGAAAACTGAAACAGGGTTTTCTCCCATCCTGTATACTGTGTAAGTATATGATAACCAGAAGAAGATTGTAGGAAAACCAGCAGCAGATATCTTCTAAGATAAAGATTGTAAATTACTAGATATTGACTTTTACAGACCTATGAATCTTTATGGAGACAGTTGATACTGGCTTTACATGAGATTTCCAGGTCATGCTGCCACCTAAAATTCAAAGGAGAAATGAAAAAAGTGATTCAAGTTCTTCCTTCTGGAGTCAGAAAGAGTATAAGGAAAATAAGAGAGCAAGGAGACTTCTTCCAAGTGCCTTAGTAGGAGACTAGCATTCTACCTACTTCGAAACTCTTGGATTACAGAAAGAGCACTTTGTATTACCACAGGACTGTTGACACATATGACATGAAACTACCAGAACTGAATCCCAATGAGATGACAGTAGAAGGTACCCAGCAGTAAAGAAAGAGAGATCAAGTAAAACAAACTCAATACATTCTCAGTAAAATAGAGCTGATGGAGGAAACAGATGAAAACTTAAATTAAAAAATAAGAGTACTGAAGAAGTTTCAAGTGCAGTAAGGAAAACATTTTTATGGAATAAAAAAAGGATAATTTTCACCTATCCAACTCTGCAAATAAGTTGAAACAGAAGATGGTTACTATTAAGACATGAATAGGTATACATACATTAGAATATGTGGACTGGGAATCTATTTAAAATGTATGGTAATGACTTAACCTTAAGAGAAACTCTGTAATGGTGTAGAGCAAGGTCAGGCAAAGTACATCCCACAAGTCAGATCTGATTTGCCACCTATTTTTGTATGGCCTGTGAGCTAAGAATGCTTTTTGTATTCTTTAATTGTTGAAAAATATTTTTTTGACATTTTAACAGTTTATTTTGAAGGTTGTTTTAAAAACAAAGTTAAAGACAATCTAAGAAAAAATTACACAGAATACACTCATTAAATAAGCATGGTGATTAAATAAAAATAAGGGAAATGTTTTCTTCTGCAATTCCGGAAATAAGTTCTGTTGTCCTGAAGGTTCATATACTTCCAAAGGGGGGGAATCTTGGCAATTAAAGCTGCCTCTTAATCATGTAAATCTACAGTAGAAACCAAATTTTTCTGTTCTTCTCAATAAGTCAGTTTCGATCTTCAAACTGTGCCTTGTTTTTTAAAAGATATGATGCTAGAAATTCAATGGGATTTGGTGGTCTTTCTTTTGCAAGCACAGCCAGTCCCTGTAATAAAATAGGCAGAACTGTCTGATCCAGGTAGGCACAAGTTGGCAAAGACTGGAGATCCACTTTCTGTTTTGATGACTTTTCTGCATTAATCTTCTCATTGTCTACTATCCTCTCGACATTGTCTGTGAGACCGTACTCAGAGTGAGGATTTTCTGCAACCTGCGTCTGTCCCTCCAGCATCTGCTCTGGCTCCATGGCGGACCCCGCAAGTCACAATCCCCCGAAACCAGTCTTGGAAAACAAGAAGAACCGTGAGTTACCCGGGAGATTTCAACATGAAGATGCCAGGATGGAGTCCAGCCCAGACCCGACCCCGCCCCTCTGTTGAAAAATATTTTTAAGAAGAACATTCCAGGGGCACCTGGGTAGCTCAGTCGGTTGAGCATCCAACTTCAGCTCAGGTCATGATCTCGTCGTTCCTGAGTTTGAGCCCTACACTGGACTCTCCATCATCAGCGCAGAGCCTGCTTCAGATCCTCTGTTACCCTCTACCTCCCCCTCCCCTCCTTGCCCTCTCCCAAAATATAAATACTTTGTAAAAAAAGACTATCTCATGACATGTGCAATTTAGAGGAAATTAAAATTTTAGTATCCATAAATAAAGTTTTATTGGAACACGGCTACATTCATTCATTTATGTATTATCCCTGATTTGTGCAAAAAGCAGAGATGTGTACCTGCAATAAAGACAATAAGGTTTGCAAGCCTAACATGTTTATGATCTTGCCTTTTACAGAAATTTTTGTCAATCCCTGATTTAGAGAGGTGCTGTCAATATAACTTCCTGTAATGATAGAAATGTCACATAAATATGGTGTCCAATCAGGTAGCCATTAGTCATGTGTGCCTATTAAGAAGTTGATATGTGACTAGAACAAATGAGTTACTAAATGTTTACTTTTATTTACTTTTAATTATGGTAAATTTAAATAGCCACATGTAGTTTGTGGCTAGTGGCTATGTATTGGGCAACACAAGTTTGGAACAAAAAGTACTAAATAATTTAAGCAAAATCTAGGCATTATGGAGTGGTGGTAGTGAGAAAATGGAAAAGCAGAACTTGAAATCATAATATCATACAAAGTGAATTTAAGGTTAATGCACAAAACAGAATAAGAGGGATATTAAAGTAATGATAAAAATCAAACATGTTTATACAAACATACATAAAACAATAATTATTAGAAATAAAAGAAAAACCTTATAAAATAAAATTATAGTGCGATGTCATATATGCCATTTTCAGATCAGATTGCCCTAGTAAACATAAAAATTATATGAAGGAATAGAAAGAAGCAATTCACAAACTTGATTAACTAATTATATATAAGAAATGTCTCAAAGAAAGAACATCAAACATTCTTTGATATGACCATGGAACATTAACAAAATTGATCAGATATGTAGCCACAAAACAATGAGAAAATAAATATTTTACTGGTTGAAGTCCTTGATCATAATCTAACAATATTAAAGATAAAAAGTTCAACATAAAAATATTAATGACTTGGAAACCAAATTAGGAAATATTACCAGATAACTCTTGGATCAAAGAGGATATAAAAGAAAATTATAAAATACCTAGATGGCATGGAAAGGAGAACACATTATACTAAAATCTATAAGATATTGAAAACTGTAGTCAGAGGAAAATATATAGTCCTAAATTTCTTCATCATAGATGAAGAATGAAAATAAAGAAGTTTGTTCATCTTCCAAAAGTAGAAAAATAATGAAATTAAGTTTAAGAAATTAGAGACAAAAGCTAAAAATTAATGGAATTCTTAAAAGACAATAAAAAAGAACAGGCAAATAAATCCAAAACTGTTTTTTTTAAGGAAAATAAACTTTTAATGTTCCTGTTTCAGAGAGGCAGACAGAGAGAGAGAGTTAGAGTGCCAAAAAAGATGTGTAGGAGTAAGAAACAAACATAATCATAAAGAGAAATAATGAAGCTATGATTACAGCATTGAAAATCTTTCCAGAATTGACACACAAAAAAACTTAAAAACTTGACTAGACCAAATATCAAAGAGAGAAATTGAAAAAGTAAATGAGTTACTACTGAAAAAGGCCTCATCTGGGACACGGTTTTATATGATATTTAAAGATTAAATATTATTATGATATATAAATAATTCAAGGCCATAGAAGGCTTTCCAATCCATTTTATAATGTCAGCAAACCTTCCATCCACAATTTGATAAAAATAATATTTGAAAAGATTTTGCATACTATTGAACCTAAGTTGACAATCCAAACAAAACTATTATGAATTATAATATTAAATGGTGACCCTCTAAGAAAATAACTAAATGACAAAAGAATTAAAATGATATATTTGAAAATATATGACCTAAGTCGTATAGAAAACAAATAATAAAATGGCAAATGTAAATTCTGCTTTATCAGTAATTACATCAAATGTTAATGGTTAAACACTCCAATTGGAGGCAGAAATTGAGAGAATAAATAAAAATATCCTCCAACTATATGCTATCACGAGACACTTTATTTTTTTATTATGAATATAATTTATTGTCTAACTGGCTTACATACAACACCCAGTGCTCATTTTCCTCTCTCCGCTACTCCCCATCCACCCTCAGTTTGTTCTCTGTATTTAAAAGTCTCCTCAAGAGACATTTTAATTCTTGGACACAAATAGTTTGCAAGTAAAAGGGTGGAAAAAAGATATACCATTGAAACAGTAACCAAAAGAGATGGAAATAGCTATACTAATATCAGGCAAATACACCTTAAGGCAAAATTTGTCACTACAGACAAAGAAGAAATTTTACAATTATAACAGGATTAATCCATCGAAAAGACATAGAAATTTTAAATATATATGCATCTAACCAAGCACCAAAATGAATGAAGCAAAACCTGATGGACTTGAAGCAAGAAATAAACAATTGAGCCATAACAGTAGGATTCTTCAATACCCCACTTTCAATAATAGAACAACTAGATGGAGATCAATAACAAAATAGAGTATTGAACAACACAGTAAACTAACTAGAACTAATAGACATCTATACAACACTCTTCTTTTTTTTTAAATAGTTTATTGTCAAGTTGGTTTCCATATAACACCAGTGCTCATCCCCACAAGTGCCCTCTTCCATGCCCAACACCCCCCTTCCCCTCTCCCCCATACCCATCAGTCCTCAGTTTGTTCTCAGCACTCTTCTTAACAACAGCAGAATTTACCATCTTCTCAAGTGCACAAGGAACACTCTCCAGGATAGACCAAATGTTAGACAATGAAACAAATCTTAATAATTTAAAAGGACTGAAATTATACAAAGTATATTTTCTGACCCCAATAGGAAATGCCACAAAGAAAATTAGAAACTAATTTTAGATGAATGAAAATAAAATCACAACATACCAAAACTTTTAGGATGGAACTAAAATTGTTCAGAGGGAAATTTGTAGTTATTAATGCCTATATTATAAAAAGTAAGACCACAAATCAAAACCTAATCCTCTACCTTAAAAAACTAAGAAAATAAGAGCAAATTAAATCCAAGGAAAGCAGAAAGAAGTAAATAAAAAACAATAAATAAAACATAAAAAAAGAAATAAAAAATATAAAATCAATAGAGGAAACTAACAAAATCAATAGTTGCCCCCTGAAAAAAGATGAAAAATTGAAAAACTTTTAGCTAGACTGACCACAACAAAATGAGAGAAGACTCAGATACCAAATTAGAAATGAAATAGAAGACATTACTACCAACTATACAGAAATAAAAGAATTATAAAGAAATTCCATGAACAATTTTATGACAAAAATTAGATAACCTAGATGAAATTAACAAATACCTAGAAAGACACAAACCACTGAAACTGTCTAAAGAAGTAATGGAATATCTGAATATACCAATAATAAGTAAAGAGATAGAACTAGTAACCAATAAATTTCTGACAAAGTAAAGCCCAGGACTGAATTGCTTTACTTTTAACTTTTACCAAAAGTTTAAAGAATTAAAACAAGCTCTTTTTTAATATATATATTTTTTAATTCTCAAGTTAGCTAACATACAGTGTCGTCTTGGCTTCAGGAGTAGATTTCAGTGATTCATCACCTACATATAACACCCATTGCTCATTCCAACAAGTGCTCTCCTTAATGCCCATCACTCATTTTCCCCACCCCAATCAACCCTCAGGTTGTTCTCTGTATTTACGTCTCTTATAGCTTGCCTCCTTCTCTGCTTTTATCTTATTTTTCCTTCCCTTCCCAATGATCATCTGTTAAGTTTCTCAAATTCCACATAGGAATGAAATCATGTGGTATCTGTCTTTCTCTAACTGATTTATTTCACTTAGCATAATACCCTCTAGTTCCATCCACATTGTTGCAAATGTCAGGATTTCATCCTTTCTCATCACTGAGCAGTATTCTATTGTATATATATATACCATATCTTCGTAATCCATTCATCAGTTGATGGACATTTGTGTTCTTTCCATAATTTGGCTATTGTTGATACTGCTGCTATAAACATTAGAGTGTACATGCCCCTTTGAATCAGCATTTTTGTATCCTTTGGATAAATCCCTAGTAGAGCAATTGTTAGGTTGTAGGGTAGTTCTATTTTTAATTTTTTTGAGGAACCTCTACACTATTTTCAAGAGTGGCTGCACATTCTTCACAGAGCTAGAACAAACAATCCTAAAATTTGTATAGATCCACAAAAGACCCTGAATCGCCAAAGTCATGTTGAAAAAGAAAACCAAAGCTAGAGGCATCATATTCACAGACTTTAACTTGTATTACAAAGTTGTAATCATCAAGATAGTATGGTATTGGCAGAAAAACGGTGACATAGATCAATGGAATAGAATAGAGAACCCAGAAATGGACCCCCAGATACATGGCCAATTAATCTTTGGCAAAGCAAGGAAGAGTATCCAATGGAAAAAAAGACAGTCTCTTTAGCAAATGGTGTTGGGAAAACTGGACAGCAACATGCAGAAGAATTAAACTGGACCACTTTCTTACATCATACACAAAAATAAATTCAAAATGGATGAAAGACCTAAATGTGAGACAGGAAACCATCAAAATCCTACAGGAGAAAACAGGCAGCAGCCTCTTTGACCTAGCCAGCAGAACTTCTTACCTGACACGTCTCTAAAGGCAAGGGAAATAAAAGCAAAAATGAGCTATCGGGACCTCATCAAGATAAAAAA